AAATGAAGGCCTACCTGAGGCTGTATTAAACTATGCATCTTAGCATTAGAAATAAAAATCAAAAGTGATTTTTATTCCATCAAGCTACTAACTAGTTCTAATGGCAAAACAGAAGCCAGCCTATGGCTGTAAAAACTCCAGGATGTCACTATAAAAACCAGTCAGGTTGTATTTTTGAGAAAACAAACTGCTGGGGCTGAAAAAGGAAGAAAAAGAACGGGGGGCGGGGGGACAAAAAACACAAACCACAAACCACAGTGCATAAAACCATACAGTGTTGAACTGAGCAAACAATTGCTAAGAAGGAATAATTTGTATATTTATATTTCTATTATAATTTGTGTTATTGCATAGATATATTGTTTATTATATATTATTGTAATATATATATATAATTTGCACATATGTATAACCCATGTCACCAATCTACATACCCTGTTCTCCAAGTGCAGCCGCACATGGAAGAAGCTGTGCACTGGAAGTGTGTGGAGAAACGCGTTAGGCTGATTCACAGCCTGCAGATCGGGGCAGCTGTGCTGCTGGCATTGACTGGGAGCTTTCTGTGTTTTCCAACTCAGCAATGGCTGACTTCTACTTCCTCTAACACATTCATCTCTAGGATGCTGGATTCTGTACACATTCCTTAATCTTTAACTCAGGAAGAAAGACATTAAAGACTCATCTTCAGCTGAACACCTAGGACTCCAGCACTCAGGAGTTATAGCTGAGACAGGTGGATTAATGTTTGAGGACAGCCTCTCCTACACAGAGAACCTATGCCACCAAGGAAGACCTATCTGCAGGAGAGCTAGAAAAAAGATGGACGATTCATCTCTTCATACTGGCTGAGGATCTAAGCGAAGCCAGCAGTCTGACAAAACATATAAACGACCCACCCACTTCTAAGTCCAGCTATCACTGGGTGTGTGTAGGGGGGTGCTGGTGGGGATTCAAAGTCCCTGGATGTGCATGTGGAACACAAGAGCGGAACTTAAGAATCCACTCTCTCTTGGAACTAGCACTGTCACTGTCACCTCTGACACATACCATCTGTCTCCTCTAACTCCTACGACAGTTCTCTAAAGTCGGACACGAGTAGCTGCCAAACCTGGATGTGCATTACATTTGTTATTAACAAATAATGATAAGATGATAAAATTCCAATGATTATATGGGGATTCTGTCTTGGTGTGCTCTCTTGACTGGGGCACACTATGTATCCGAATGAATTAATGACACCTATGTAAGCTCTTGCTGTCATGTGTTTCCTAACTACTAAAGGAACAACTATGTCAGAGGATAAGTGTCTGCCCTGAGACTGGTTTTTATGCACGATTGACCCGAGGCTGCCTTTTGTAAATGGCCTGAGCTTTCTATCACAAACTCTCACTCCATTCATGCAGATACTGGATAGTAAGAACACACCGCTCTCTGAACACAACAAAGGTACAAACAAGAGGAAGGAGGAGCTAGCCCAGATGTGAGGTGGTGAGGCGGGTGCCCTGGTGAGCTCCACCTCAGCTCTGCTAACACTGAGAGGTTTTGCCTTAGAGTAGTCAAGACATGCTTGTGCCAATGCACAGATGGGGCAGAGAAGGTTTCCACCAAGCTACTCCCCTGTTCCATGGGTCTGCTACTACTATACCTCACTTCTCTTACGTGGAAAGATGGCAAGCATGGAAGGAGTCTATTGCTATTCATCTAAAACTGTCAACTTCACTGAATTAAGAAATCTTCATAGAATTAATGCTATTTAGGAAGCAGGTATGTCAGTTTGGGCTTTTCTAGAGACAGACTCTGAGCTAGCCAACACATCAGTTCTAGGACACATTCATAACACAGCTGACCTACTCTAGTCAGAATCCAGAAGCATTACTGGGAGGTAGGGAGTGGCAGGCAGGAGGGGGCCGAACTGCTGGAAGCAGGTCACTGGGTGCATGCCCTTGGGTGCTCCTTGCCCTGGGTGCTCCTTGCCCCGGCCCCTTCCTGTCTTCTCTTTCCTCCGCTTCCTGTCTCACGTGGGTAGGAAGTGCCCTGCACTAGCATAACCTCTGGGATGAACTGACATCTCTTCTAGTCATTTCCAGCATGTATTGTGTCATGGCGGCCAATACAAGGTCTCTTGACAACAGTCCCCCTCAGCTACGGGAAGCCTCTGCATCTTCCTTCCTCCCAACCCCAAATATCTAAAACTAAAAGACTGCCTTTGTGTAAACACACAGTTTTTCCCTGAGTATAGTTTGTTTTCTTGACAGCCTCTAGTTTATTAACATCACGGTGATGAGTGGCTCAAATTTCCGATGTGGAGAAAAGTACTGTATATGATTAAAGTGTCCATCAGTCAGAGAGCCTTGAGCTGCTGCTGGTACCTCTGCATACTAACCTGCGCTCTGCATACTAACCTGTGCTCCCCCCGACTCATCCTCTCTTGCTGCTTGTTCTTGGACTTGCTGCAGCATTTTCTCCAGCTCTTTCAGTAAACCTTCTGTCTCAGAGACAACTGAAGGAAATCAGGAAGACAATAAAAGCTGCATCTTTAGTTAATTCCATTTAACTCATCATCTTAACCACCCAGAAAGGATTCTTCTAAGTAATACAGAAATTAAAAATGAACTTTGTATTTTTTAAAAAATTATCTTTACTCAGCTTAAAAAAATAGATTTCCTTATAGCTTTTTCTTACCTGCTTAATTTTTGCTATCATATGGTTTTATACAGGAGGACCTCTGCTTGAAGCAAAATTCTATTATGAATTTCCAGGCTAAATTTTTGTAATTCTTTGAAAGGAATAGCTAATTTTCTTGATATGTAATAGTATAAAATGCTTTTGAAATATAAAAATCTCATTAGAAGTTGTTGCATATTTCTTCTTAATTGGGGACCCAGGTACTCAATTATGTTTATAAAACTCCCATCACAACCAAGGAGCTATACAGGCAGTGGATAGTGGGGGAGGAGAGTTTTCTTGAAAAGGTATATCCTCTGGTAGGTCCACAAGGCTCCTGTAAATGGCCCCATTCCCAAGAGCATTGAGACTTAGACTACCAGATTATTTTGGGGGCACGGTGGGGGAGACACGAAGTTAAGAGAGTGGGGGAAGTTGGGAGTGGACTTGGGAGGAAAAGGGGAGTAGGGGTGAAGATGGTTGGAATGCCTTGTACCCATGTAGGACATCAAAGGCTGCTGTCAGGAAGGGAAAGGACACAACAAAGCAGCTGGGCTGAGTGCGTGCTCAACCTGTCTTTTCCCTCTCTTTTTCTACTTTCATGTGTGGGACCTGTGTGAGTGGAGCCTCTGTGGGGTGCACATGCACTTTTGTGGGTGCTTGTGGAGGCCGGAGGGTGGCGTCAGGGATACTCTTCCATTGCTCTGTTACCTTATTTACTAAGGAAGGAGCTCGAGGCTCCCTGACATGGCTAGACCTACTGGCCAGTTTGCGGCCCACTGATATTTGTCATGGTTTCTGGGGATTCTGACTTTGTTCCTCACACTTGCATGGCAAACCATCTCCAAGGCTCTAAAGGCTCATCCATTTCTAACCCAAGTGACAACATACGTTAATTGCCCAGCATGATTTTAAAAAGAAAACACTATGCTGATCAATGTCTTCTTTGCATAGCGATGAAGTAAGAAAAGTGTTTACCACTTCATTTAATATGTTGAGATAAAATAATGAAACCACCACCACCTAAGAAAGACAGCCTACAGTAATGACAGAGTTGTATTCTGATTAACAACATGCATTTGAATTCTCTGCCTAAATAAAATGGCAGTTCTACTTGACACAAAGTCTTGCTGAAGCAAAGATCAGAGAAAACAGCACACAGGTAGCTTGCTGCACCGCACCAGAAACAGAAGCCTGCCCAAAGCCAGCATAACCTGGAGGGAATGCCACTTCCACTCTGATCCCAGCAGTCTGACACAACACTCCCTCTTCTCTGCTAGGGGAGATCACCACAAGTCATACCACTCGGCACAGCTGGAAGTTCAAGAAACATCTACATGTACCCAGGCAGGACATAAGAAAGAGAACTTTAAATCCCAGGTAAAGCACTATTAATAGCAGTATTGACCAAAATCATGGCAGTGAGGAAACATAAAATCTCCCTGTGGTTGTTGCTCTAGCACAGGAAAGCCAGTTTTCCTTTGACACAGTTCCACATTGCACACATTACAGTTTGCATAAGTATGCTGACCGGCATCTCTTTGCCTAAGCATTCTTCTATTCAACCAACACACATTTATAGCGCATCGACTGTGAGCCAGAAACTCAAGAGAGTAAGCACAGACTAAGAAGCCTTCCTCACTATGATCTCGGCCCAGCCAACATTAGGCTATCTGCAAAACTTGTTTTGAAATAACCCAAAAGAAGCTCGAGAGTCAGCTCTTATGTTTAAAAGCAAGACAAACGAAGCTTGCAGCTGACATGTGGGTTACCTCTCAAAGCATCTGTTTTCTTTCCTTATGGCTAAAGACAACACAGTACTCCATTCCGGATCAGGAGTACTCAGAGTTTGTTGGGCCTAAGAATCACCTGGGTAATTCATGTTAAACATGGATACGGCATGTCTACTGAATCCAAACTTGCTAGAGGAATGTATGCTTGTCCTGAAGCACATTGAATGAAATTAAGATCCAGTTTTACTAGATTAAAAAAAAATGTTTACTTATTTACGTGTGTGTGTGTCTCTCTCTGTGTGTCTGTGTGTCTGTGTGTGTGTGTGTGTGTGTGTGTGTGTTTGTGTGTGCCACAGCATGCATGTAGAGGTCAGAGGACAGCTCTGAGGAGGCTCTCTCCTGTCTTGTTAAAGCAGGATCTCCATTGTTGTTTCTGCATGCAGCACAGGCTAGGCTGGCTTCATTCTCCTGTGTCTCTTCCTGTCTCTCAGGAGGAATGCTGCAGTTATTGCTGTGTGCTTCCCAATCCATCCTGGAAAGGATGAGCTCTGGGATCAGCTCATGGTGTCAGGCTGGAGCCACATGGGCTTCGACACATGGAGCCATCTCCACCGCTCCAAATGTGGCAGGTTTCTCTTTAGTAACCGAACCTGTCCGTTCACAGACCACTGTTTGTGCTTATCCTCAGGCTGACTCTCCAGTTCCCCTCACAATTTTTCTCTACTTTACATTCCAAGTTTATAAAAACTGACACTGAAATTTAATATCCTGTTGAAAAGATGGATTTTTAAGCTGTGCTATAAAAGAAAATGGCAAGCAAACATCTTTATACTTCTAACACTAGGCTAAAGTACAGTCAGGTTATGATGAGGTATGTCATTGCCAAGTTCACTGTAATCTCTGTTTGCAAGCAATCTGGGAAAGTGTCTGCACTGCCTTTTGATCAAAGGGTAGACATAGTAATGGAGGACTTCACCAACTGGCCAGGACTCTTAACAACTGGACTGATGTTGATTTCTGCTTCCAGAGCAGCAGGAAGCTTGCTTTTCTATAAGCACTCCTATATTGTAAACTGAAATTCAAAAATAATTCTTAAGAAATGGCAGTTAGTGTACTCTACAGACTCAGTTATCAGAATTGGTCAATGATATCCTCCAAAGCTGGAGACAGAAGGCACGCCTTTGCTGACTGTACAACCATCATCTCCTATCTGTGAGGATTATCCTTAGTTTCCTGACTTGACTCAATTCACTGTTCAGAGTAGAAAGGGAGAGGGAAGGAGGAAAATAGAGAGAGGGAGGAAGAGAGGGGGAAAGGAAGGGGAAAGGGAAGGGAGAGAGAGTGGAAAGGGAGGGAGGAGGGAAGGGAGAGGGAGGGAGGAGGGAAAGGAGAGGGAGGGGAGAGGGAAGGGGAGAGAGAAGGGAGAGGGGGAGATTCCATCCCCAAAGAGCAAATCCGAGGCAAGAAAATAAGAAACTGTTTCACATGAGTATGCTAGGAAATTGAGGCCAAGAACTTGGACATAGGTCACCTTCTGTCACAGAGCAGGGCTGACTCCACCCTTGTGGGGGCCACTGGAACAGTGGTTCCCTGTGCTTTGTCCTTTGCATTATTTCTCTTCCCTTTGCTTGGCATCCAAAATTCTAAAGCAAAGTCACATCAAAATAAGTAAATGGGCCAAAGCTTATTGACTCTGAAGAAAATATAAAGATTGTATGTCCACAACTAAGGTGTTAGCTGTTAAATAATCTCTACATTCATAAAACCTAAAAGGCCTGGTTCCTCCAGGTGACAACCACACCATGAAATGATCCTCCTTGTCTTTTAGTTCCAGAAGCCAAATAACACACAGCATGTCACTTACCATGAAGCTTAATTTACAGAAAAGAATGACTGTCTAGAGAGCAACAGAAGTAGCCCCAGAAGGCCAGTGACACACCAGCTGGAGAAGAAAACAGGAGACATGGGCCCTGGGCTACAGAAACCACCGGGCATCAGCAGGTAGCCCTCACAGGAGCCTACTGTCCGCTGCTCTCCCTTCCTTCTCTAATAAAAGCTCTGTGGATATCTAGGTTCTCAAAGTGAGTGCTTTGATGCTGGCATACCCTTTATAGGCATAGATTGCCCTCTGAATTCATGAGATGTATTCCTCACCAGCTCTCTGTTCTGAAGAATTGGCTCTCAAGCAACAAGCACTGGACCTGAGGCCCACAGTGCTATAAACAAATTGCATATGGATGCTTGGAAATAGAGATTACTCTAAAATGCTATCCTCTGAACCAAACTGTTAGAACCTTCATGAGATCACCTATGCCTTCTTGTAAGTTTCTATCACTATGAAGGCTGTTGGTATTAGCACTTCCTCCTAGAAGGCATGGGTGGATCACTGGACCCTCCCTTGAGCATCAGGCCATTCCACCCAAGCATTTTTATGCAATGCTGCCCTAACTGTACATGGCCTTGGAGTCTCAGGCTAGAGTATATAGGTTAGTGAAAGACTCAGGGAAGCTGGACTCCATCTCTGCAGGTATGGAAAAGCCATCAAGCATACTCAGTAAAGACTGTCCAGTATGGCAGCTTTGAGGTCACCCACACTCCTGTCATGAGTAAGCTCAGTAAACTCACTGGTTTCGTTTGGTAAAAGAAAAGTTGATTTGTTGTTAAGACCTTTGGAGGAGGAGTAGCAATGTTCACATCAACCACCCACTACCCACCAGGAAGGGCTTTTAACAATAGGGATCCACAGAAATATTGATAGAAATTTAAAAGTTTGAAAAGTATTTTGTTGTTCTTTACATGCTGTTGGATGCTTATTTTTATTTATTTGCTTTTATTCTCATCTTAATTTGTTCTTCAAAAATTCTGTACAATGTGTTTTGATGAATTTCACTGCCCCCCCCCTTCCAGATCCATCTCATCTTTCTATCCACCCAACATCACCTTCTCTCTTTTTTTTTCTTAATCAGTTGATACCTGTATGCTCTGGTACGTACAGCCATCACTGCAGGATGATGTCTACCTGCCCTGGCTATGTCTGGGAAGGAAAAACTGACTCCCATCTCCATTCTGGAATTGTGTCTGTTATGAGTCTACACCTGCCTTG